CATGTCATTGAAACACGGTCAACCTTGGGATGGTGCTATAGGTGCGGCATTCTCTCAGAGTACCGGTCATTTTTGTTGCGTCTGACCGGCAAACTATCAGTTGTTATGTGTGCTGTCAACCAACCTGGAAGTCGGGCGTTCTCGCCTATGTTTTTCACGATTTTGAACCGATTCTTTCTCATGAATTTGCCGAAATGAGCTCAGTATCGATAATTTAAGATGGCTTTCCCCATTTTTCTGTCGAGGAGAATCGTCAGACTGCACGGACATGTCGCGGATACTGAGCCTCCTTGCTTAGTTCATGTTTGTTTTCATTATTTAACAGGATCGTGAAGTCCCAGAACAGCAAGCCATGGCGCAACATGCAGCTGAAGAGACCTTAACTAAAAAGTCAATAAATGACCTGCCAACAGTCATTTGCAACGCACTGACAGATGTGCAAGCCAGTATGAAAGCTCTCAGTGATCGGTTACAGCAGATAACAGCATCAGGGACTCCAGTGGCAAACCATGATGTCCAGCAAATAAAGGCAGTTTTTAATTTCTTCCTTGCAACCGCATGCGTTCGCACTCTATATGCCGACAATTTGTCGAGTCTGGTAACCAGGTAATATTCAGTTCGGTCCAAATAATAGCTAGCCATTGGAGCATGCTGTGCATATTTACGAAAAAAACCTATCGATAATCATTGGTTTTCGTTTGCCAGTCCGTATATTTCGCATTAGCAGTAATTAAAGTTGGCCCAAACGTAGGTTTACGAAGCATAGTCTTACTGCACTTACGCAATGCTGATATTTGGCATTTTAATGCTTTCAGCTGTCTAAGATGAGCACCGAGATAGATTACAAACTACAGCAATGTTGCTAGTAGTTAATGTACCAGAGGTTTTTGTGGAAATGGGCTTTCGTCCAAGTTTCCAGCTATTGGCAAGCATGTAGCGTGGTGGTCGATATCGAACAAAGGGAGGCATTGTAAATGCTGACAGGTTATATACTTGTTTCCAATTTATTTAAGCTTAAGCTATGTCAAACGATATTAAAGTGCTCCCGTTAGGATATGACATTTAGGATGTGTCAGTCGGTTCGCTGTTTTGGTTGATGTGACCTTCTAGCTCGACACTCTTCCTTAGGATCTCTCCAGTACGCTTAGTGACGGACTGAAAAAGCTTCTAGATTTGCGGGTTTACTACGACCTGATGAAAATACAGCATGAACACGAGTGGAAGGAAGGTGGCCATTCCGATGTGGATGCTCTGTTTACTGACCTTTACTTGGTACCCACCGAGGCAAGCAGAGCTCTGGCTGATTCTAAAGCCTTCCTGGATTCAGTGGGTTATTTGTTTTGCGTAGGTAATTCTATTGAGGATTTTTTAAAGAATGCGTGCACAGTGACACATTTCCAATATTCCTGCCAAATGATTAAACTTAATTTTTAAAGCCTATACATTACAAGGTATATTTCTAGTTCTTCTTTCCGAATTAACAGAGAAAGCCCTTAGATTATCAGATAAATCCTAAGTGCACACCAGCACATAATCATCCTAGTGAGACAGGTGGTATCCACGATGGACAACGCTGAGCCCATTCTGCCTAAAACTGCCGCAGAAGCGGCCCACAGTGTTTTCCTTAAGGTATCTTCCGCTGATGCTCAT